TTTTGACTTTAACAAGGACCACAGTGCTTGCTGCTATGCACATAACAGACTGGATGGAACACAGGCAATAGAAACTTTGCACCTTCCAGAAGACAAAGGCTACTATAACACTTTCCTTATGTGTGTTCTCCAATCTTTCCATCCTCCCACTGTAGAATTGTCCCATTACCACCCATAGGTAAAGCTGGCTTAAATATTCAGGTAGGTACCTGAAAGATTCACTTAGGAATATATCTATTAATTGGTGAAATTTGTATCATGCAAATGGTACAACCCAATTAAAAAAAACAAAGAAAACATAAAGGATGTAACAGTAGGAAAGAAACAAACCAAAAATTGAAATCTAAAAAGTTCATAGATATACAATAACCATGTTGTTAAAACCAAGATTTACAGATTAGTATTGATTAAAGCATACATTTAAAATGAGTTACTAGAGAGTTTTGAATACAGATGCTCTAGTTGGTATTGACAGTGGAGTATTTATTAGTTATTAGCTAAACTAATATATTCTTCAACTAAGATTCTAAGATTCTTGCTGTAGTGGCTTTGTTGTTTTTATACCAAACAGAATATGAACAATTTTTATTAATTCAAGTAGTACAATAGTGTAAGTTTTCACTGATATTTGCAAGGTAAAGGGTTCATTTTAAAACTAAGAAAATACTACAGCCTTTTCTATGCAGATACAGTACACAAAAGGTTTGTGATGGGGTGGTAGAAGGTGGAAGCAGAGAAAACAATTGGTAAATTAGATAGGTCCATTATGTGTTTCTATTATGTTTCTATCTGCAAGAAAGATACACAGGCTCCATTTTATGATTATGTTTACTTTTTCTTATGTCTGAGTTTTCCCCTAATACAATGAAAAATATTAAATCCTTAAAGGAAAGATCAGACGTTGGCAAAGTCATACTTCTTGTGTGACCTTTTATCTTGTGGCACTAGAGTTCATATCAGACTTAAATAAGTGACTCATTTAAGAAAACAACTAGCTTCTTCAGTCTGGTGTTATTGTTTTCCACAAATCAATATTTCTGCTGCCTTGTTTGAGGTTGTCTCACAAGTGGTTTAACACAGAGGCCCTTGTGGCTACACCCAAGTGGAGGGTGGTTACTGGATGATTGAAAGAACAATTGAACTAATGTGAGTCTCAGAATAGAAGAGAAGAGAGTAAAAAAAATGACATCTTCCTGCAAGTGATAGAGTGTTCTTATTAGAGTCCATAGGAAGATTACAAATTATCTTTGGGATGCTGTGTCTGTTCATGTTTGAATTGGGTACTGGTTTTCACTTTAAAAATACAGATATTATTCATCATCACACACTTGATTCTTTAGAAAGCTGAGATCTGGCACATCCTATCATGTTTAATATGTGCATAAGTATTTCAGGATTAATATGAATCTTGCTCTTTAGAAAATTATAGAATAAGGGAACATTAGTAACAAGGGCAAAAATGAGAGAGACAGGTATCAAGTAAGAGAGGGAAAAAAGATGGATGAGAGCAAGATGGTGGGAAAGGAAAGGAAATGACATATTTTCCTTTCAAGTCTGTGCCCAGCTCCTATTTGAGTATAGTAATTTGATTCATGCTTATACTCTGTGTCTGATTTATTACTGATTTCATCATGAGTGCCCAGCTCCATTGGCTCCTGCCTATTTGTCTCCAAGGTAGTGAAACCACCATCCACACAATGACTGTACCAGTTGACCCTGTTAGCACTTTTAACTCTCAACTTAAACGTCTCCTTTTGCTAGTTATTTTTAGATTTATTGTCATATGGGATGTGTATGTTGTATAGCAATATGATACCTATGGAATGTTGTGCTCTGTGTAAATCAATCACTGTAATAGCATCTCTGGGTGAAACCAGGGGCAGAAAGGACAGGATGAAATGGGGACAGAGAATGGAATAGAGGATCTGGGTAAATAAGACTGAAAGTAAAGGGTGAAAATATAGCTGGAAAAAAAAAACCACATAGGAATAAACGTTTAAGCACCCATAGAAACACACTTACGATTAAGTAAGAAATTTATTCTAAAGACTGAGGAGAATTGGAAAACAAATTCTGCTTGGGACTTACATGTCTGTACATGGGTTGTAGAAGTGATCTGATTATTAAATCTTACATCTTCAGAGGCTGTTGCAAATGCATCTCCATTAAGGAAGTCCTTTATGATTATCCAGAGGCAAGGCACAGAAAATCAGAATAATCTGGGGATAATAGAGTCTCTTAGTTTCCAGGAAGTGGTGAAATTTGGTTAGGGTTAAGAATGGAGAGAAATTAAAAAAATAGTCAAAGAAATAGTAGGGTGAGGAAAAAGTTTGAGGTTAATATTAGGCAAACAAAATTTGAAAGTAATCTTCAAACTAATAGGTACATGAAAAAGTGTTATTGCTAATTGTTTATGAGTTATGGGAAAATTGCTGCTAAGTACTTCATGTATATTGTGTATTTGGTGTATTGGCATTTCTTATTTTTATTGTCTTTTACTAAGTTAATAAGAAGATTTTTGTCTTACCACCAATGCCTTGTATTAGAGTATTACATGTAAGATGCATTGCCAAGATACTTTGGTGATTTATTTTACCTCTTCAGAGTAAGTTGATTTAAAAAGAAGACCAGTAATTAAAGGTTAGTCTTAATTATGGAATAAGCTGTGCTTTGTCATTTTCTTCTTGAAACATTTAACAATCATGTTTTCAACTCTCAAACTCTTGTGTTTGGTTTTAAGCAGAATTATAGTAATTGTTTTGGAATTTTTAATTAGATGAATAATAATTGAGGTGATGGCTCTTTTTGCTAATTTCTCAAAGAGTTGACTTGCTACTAAGCAAGCATGAAAGATATTTTCTATTTCCATTATATTTTTATATTAATAATTACATCACTTAAGGTTAAATAGGCTTTAAGAATAAAATGCAATGTCTTAACATGAAAATAATATAAGATTTAACATTGTTCTTTGTCATTAAATGCCTTTATTTAGATTGTATGATTAACTAATTTCCAAATGAATTACGTGATTTTAAATTCACATTTGAAAACTAAGTGAGACTACAGGTTTTGTATTTATAGCTCTGAAGGTATCACAGATATCTGACTCAAAGTAACCATGGGAACTCCATTGACATTGATCCAAGAATGATTTAAATGAGTTTCTGTTATGTCTATTCTTTTAGAAATTCCAATCTCTTTATCATATATTCACTTAGAGAAAACAGACAAAAAGGGTTTAGTGTGGTACTACACATCTCTAGTCCCAGCTACCCAGGAGATGAAAGCATGAAGATCATGAGTTAGAATCCAGCTCAAGCAAAAAAATAGTGAGACCCTAGTTCAAAAAACTAAACACAAAGCAAAAGGTGTGAAGTATAGATTCCATGGTATATTGCTTGCCTAGCATCTGAGAGGACCTGGAACAGAAAAAAAGAATCAGAGGTAAAATTGAAACGATATTTCTATTGTTTGCAGATTTTCTTACACCAGAGAATTATACTTAATTAAATATAAATTTAATTATTGGTATACTACAAATTTAAGCTGATTGTTAAAAATAACTAATTTCATATATTTTACCTAGATGATAATTACTATTATTCTTTGCATGGAAGCCGAACTTTACTGAGGAACTGTTGTGGAATGGATATATCAATTAAAATACAAATTACAAAAATGAGGCTTGAGTTCTTCAAACTTTAGTTGTATTAAACAACTTCCTGTAAGACAAGTTTCAGTAGATCAGCACAAAATTTTCTTAATTTCATTACAGTCTGTAAATTAAAATTAATGAGTCTGACATCCACAATTAACAATGAAAAATGCAGATTGTTATAATTACTTAAGCAATAACATTGCTTTACATAGAAGACTTAAGGTGCTCCACAAATTATTTACAAGTGTTACATAAAACACAAAAAAATGACAATTTCAATTTATTTTGTCAATGCAAAAAAACAAAATCCTTACTAAAACCTTTCTGGTTTGGGAATCTCTCGCCATGCATAATTAAGCAAATTTGATTGCAATTAAGCCTGGCTTCTACAGTAGAGTTTTAATTAATGCAAATCTGGCATCTACATCTATAAGATTAATTTTAGTGAATTAAAAGAAAACAACAAAGCACATTTGAAAGTGCAGTTGTATTGTTGAAAGGACACAATATAAAAGCTGGTTATTTTTCAGCCTTCCATGTGTATAGCCTTTGACTTAGAGTTTAAAGAGGATATTTTACTCATACTTTTTCTTTTGTTTTTAAATGCCTTATTAAGAAGAGTATTGAAATTACACAAAACCATTTCAAAAAGATATCTTTAAAATCCAGTATACCTTACGTGCAAGGAATATATTACATTACATGAACACATACATCTGCCTTTGCAGAATTCGATGCACAAATCATCCATGAATGCACATAGACTTTATTTTTCTTGTCTTAAAATATTTAGTGTTTACATCTCAAAATTTAAAGTACTAATGAAGTACCACTGGTGTTGTGAAGGTTTTTTGTTTGTTTGTTTGTCAGTTCTGGGGCTTGAACTCAGGGCCTGGGAGCTGTCCATGAGCCTCTTTGTGCTCAAGGCTAGCTGTCTAATAGGTGAGCCACAATGCCACTTCCAGTTCTGGAATGGTTATTTGGAGATAAGAGTCTCACAGGAAATCTCTGCCAGGGCTGACTTTGAACGGCAATCCTCAGATCTCAACCTCTTAAGCAGCTAGGATTATAGAGAGGTGAGCCATTGGTGCCTGGCAAGTATTCTTTTTAATAGCAGAGCTACTAAAGGGCAATGTGGAATATGAGAATCTATATAGAAATAATTTGTAATATTGTGTACATACTTTATTTTTGAAATATTTTATTTAACTTTTAATTGATTCTTTTCTTTTATGATTCATTTGACAGATACACAGATATCCTAGAATACATATTACATGATTATACTACACTAAAATAAGACATAATTTGAAACAAATGTACAATTTTTGATATTTATGCAAGGGTTTGAATTTGTGACAAGCCTGTCCCTCTAGACCTGATGATATCCTATGCTAGAATAGACCCTGGCTCTGAACCATTTCCTGACCTCTGTGCCCATGTATTGCTGGCACTGAAGCAGGTTGCACAGTGAAAGAAAAAAAAAGAAAACATTGTATTTTAAGATAGATAGTTTTGATATTGCTATTAGAGGTTTTTTGTTTTTGTTGTTTGTTTTTCAAGTATTGGGTTTTAGAGCCTTGCTTGCTATGTTAGTATTCTACCATTTAGAGATAGGATCTGTTGATTTTCCCTAAAGCAAACTCTTTAAAAAGTGTCAAAGTTATTTCCTTTCCCCTTCCCAAATTAGAAAAGTGTATATACAAGATGTAGGGCACCAGAATCAAATACAGTGACAACAGAGATTGTACCACGGGGAAGAACATACAAAGAAACAAAAAAAATCACATAGTACATTATAAGTACAGTTGGGGAGGTGAGGAGGGAAGGGATGGTAGGAGATAAACAAAGGAGGGGGTAACAATGCTCAATAGGAAATGGACTCATTACCTTGCTCATGTAACTGTAACCCCTCTGTACAATAAAAAATATATATTAAGAAAAAAAGTGTCAAAGTTGGAAAGAAGGAAAGCTATTACTTTGTAAAACATTGTGAGAACTGTGTGGCTCTGTCTCTACCTAACCACAAATCTGGACCGAGGGAGAACTTGTCTTTTACACCCTCCCTTGTGCAAGGCCAGGTCTGAGGAGAGAGAGATACTGACAGTGGGGACAGCTGTTGACTCAACTAAAATCATATTAAGTGAAGTTACCCAGTCCCAAAGAAATTTAGGTCCCATGGTTTCCCTTATTTACAATAATTAGTATACATACAGGATAATCTTATCAGATGTGCTGAAAAGCTCAAAAACCATGTACAAATGACCATATAAGATCATGTTAAGCATGGGTTTCCCTTATTTGCAATAATTAGTACACATATAGGATAACCTTATCAGATGAGCTGAAAAGCTCAAAAACCATGTACAGATGACCCTATAAGATGTTGTTAAGTGAAATGAACCCCAAGATATGGACACAGGAGGTCTGCCTTTATTGTTATTGTTTTAAATGTACCATGTGATTTTATTTGATGTGTTGTTTCTTTTGTATGTTCTTTTCCCTATGGCATATCCCCTGTTGTCACTGTACTTGATTTTGGTACCCTGCATCTTGTATATACATTTGTCTAATCTGGGGAGGGGAAGGGGAATAACAAAATGCTGAAACAGGACACAGGATGACCCATTGTAACAAGGATACCCAGAGGACAGTATATTGGAAACAAACTTTACAGCTTCGGGTTGGGGAGGGGGCAGGAGGGGATGAGTGTGGAAGGTGGTGGAGGGAAGGGATAGTGGTACAACAACAAGGAAGGGAGGGAAGTGGTAACAATGATCAACAAGTAATGCACTCATTGCCTTACTCATGTAACTGTAACCCCTCTATACAGCATCTTAACATTAAAATTTTTTTAAAAAAAGAAAAAGAAAAAAAAGGTGAGAGGCTGTGATATCGATGGAACAGAGTAGAATCCAGAGAAAATGGAAGAGTTACCAAGAAGCTCTTGCTTCAAGAAACACACAAAGGTGTCTATGAGGAAGAGAGCTGACTTTGCCCATTTGCAAAGAGAGAATGTTGACTCTAGAAACTCTCCAATGCTTGATGAATTCATTAGCATGTGACATGAAACCAATCATAATGACTTTGCTCACGTATTACCTTATTCTGGCTCTTCTTTCAATGTAAAATCTACATGTATCTTGTAGGAGAAGAGAGCAAAAGATGAGAATTTTAAAAAGCTAGAAAACAGAAAAAAATACTCACTGGCCATTTGTTGGGCCTATTGTAGCCAAAATGGTGGCCACAGCTTTGTTTTTAATGGAGATTTAAATTGTAATGATGACTCAGACTACCTCTGACTACTCAGAAGAGATGAAATGACTTACTTTTTAAATTAGAAGTTGTGTTAGCTACACTTTAGTTTTTGGAGTCAGAAAAGTCAGAGATTCAGGTGCAGGAAATACCTGATTTCATTGGAAGGCTTTGAAGAGATTCTATGTGTATACTGATAGCTAGTTATGTAGAGAAGGTCAAGAGCATGCTAATAATAAGTAAAACTGTAATAGAAAGTAATTGTTGGGCACTTATGTGACAGTTGGATTTCAGTGTTATCTTAACAATGTCTTCCATGGATGTCTTACTAACAAAAGGCTTTAGATCTGTATAAGCATATATATGTAATAGTATGTATAGTTTACATTTTTAACCTTAAAGCTATTTTTGTTTTAAAGTAATGTTTAGATTCATAGTTTATTGCTCAATATATGGAGATAACTATGGAGATAACCCATCTACCCATAACCACCTTTCCCTCAATGGTACCAGTGATGGTACTGCCATCCTACATAATTACAGTCTAATAATGAAGCCAGAAATTTGTCATTGTTTCATATTACTTTTTACCAGTCAAAATTATACTACCTTCCAATATTCTACTTCCTATGCGTTAGTCAATTACACAACTTTTATTTCAGTATTAAATATATTATATTAAACATATAATATGTGCCTATTACCAAATAAAAGTATATATAATATATACCTGTATATATTAAATAGATGTATACATTTAATATATGTATATAATATACATAATATAGCATTCATATTATATACATAATGTTATATATTATATACATATTGTTATATGTTCCATATATTATGTATCATACATATTATATTACATATTTTATACATATATTCAATGGATGTTGAATATATACTATAAATATATTGAATATATGTTTATATTCATATTATTGAATATGTATACATACACATATATTCATATTATTGAATATGTATACATACACATATATACATATATGTGTATATATTCAATAATATGTAAATTAAATATAAATAATAATACATATGGCATTCATCATCCAGAAGGGCAGAGACTCTTAAAGAAATTGTCAACTTTCATTATAAGACATCATCAATTATGAGGCACTATTACCTTTTATGACAATAAGAAATAAATTATCTAAAAATACTTTTTCACCAGGCACCAGTGGCTCACATTTGTAATCTTAAGTATTCAGGAAGCTCAGATCTGAGGATCATGGTTCAAAGCCAGCCCAGGCATGAAAGTCTGTGAGACTCTTATCTCCAATTAACCACCAGAAAACCGGAAGTGGTGCTGTGGCTCAAGTGGTAGAGCACTAGCTTTGAGCTAAAGAACTGAGGAACAAAGCCCAGGCCCAGAGTTCAAGCCCCACGGCCAACCAAAAACAAATATTGCCAGTCTAAGATATTCCAGGATTTCAGAAATATTAAAAAGTAAAATGTGCATAATAAAATAGGCAATATAGCCAATATATTGTAATAAAGATATTTATATAATGATGTAGAAAATAATTGACATAAAATTTATTTCCTGGGTTGGATGAGATCAGAGACAGTTACCGAGAAACATGGTGTAAGAGTAAGGATTTGTAAAGGCAGTAGGAGTTTGCCAGATGAATAAAGGGAAGAAGGACAGTTGAGGATAGGGACCGTCCTTCTTGTTTTCATATGCTTACGAAAATAAGCTGAGCAGTCTTCATCCATATGCAGTGGTTCATACATAGTGTGCGCGAAGGGACAGAGAAGAAGCTGGAAATGAAGACTGGAATTAGTTGGTGAACAGCCATAACACTGCTCTAAAGATGATAGGCATCATTATGTTCTCACTGGGGAGTATTTAAACCAGAGAGTGGCATTAGATTTTTGCAACAGAAAATCATGTGGCACAATAAGAATGAATTACTGGAGAAAGTCTAGGGATTTATTGAACAATTGACATCAGATTTGCAAAATATATAATTGACAGGCAATCTTGAGTAAACATTTGTTTTCTTCAGCAAAGTGCTTAAATCAAATAGTTAAGCCTCTTTTAAAATAAATGTTTTAAATATACAATATTAAAATAACTTGATTGCTCACTACCACTGGTCATGTGAATTGGGCTCCTCCTGGGTGTTGTAGTATATTATTTAATCATGTATCCAGTAGGCATATCAGAATATCTCATTTTATGTTTTTTTTTAAATCTCATAGAACTGATCACTGCACCTGCAGGGAAGATAATGTATAATGTATGGGGTGGGGATCAGGACATCAATAGCCCAGGGGAAAAGATGAGCTGTAGAGTAACTCTGGTAGCCTATGCAAGCATAGAGAGGATCCTTTAAGTGGTAGCAACAGATTTAAGAGAAGCCAATGTCTAAAGATGCTTAGGGGCTAAAACTCCAGTTCCTGGAAGTTTGATGATCTGTGGCATAAAGAACTGGAGGAGCAAAAAAGAACCAGTCCAGGGCCTCTAACAAGAGAATCAGGGTGAAAAAAATATTCTTTACTAACCTAGGGGGAAACCCAAGAAAAGCAACAAAAACAAACAACACTGGAAAAGAAGTTGAAAGAAAGCTTGATTATATGTGTTATATATATATATATCAATTTGGGAATTTGTGTATATTTCAAGAAGACAGCAGTCTTGCATGTGGTATTGGACAGGTCATGTGCCAAGAAGCTGGGTCTACTTGAGATGTTCTCCAATGATGTTAACTCAGTAGCCAGCCGAGTTAGGGAAATGGTTTAGAAAATAAGTAATGACTAAGTCCATTACTTAGTCCATTAATAAGTAATGACTGGGACTTTCTACCTTTTGGAGAAAGTGTAGAATGAGCAGAGTGAGCTCTGACAGTTAAACATGGAGTAATGAAGAAGTCGCCAAAAGGAAATGTAAAAGAAAAGCCAAAGAAGTGAAAGGAAAACTCACCTTCTTCCTATTATAATATTCATGTTGTATTATAATTGCCTTGTGCTTGCTCTGAGTACAATTCTGGCACAAACTGCTTTCTTGTATTCTGTTTTTGCCTGACATTTGCAGAAAGGGTTTCATAAATTATCAGGTTAAATTTAGCTTGAAAAAATAGAAAATTGGCCATATTATTTATTATGGAGATTAAAAACGTGTAGAAAGCCTCTCTCCTTATCACTGTGGATGGATCCAGGAAATTCACAGAAATCATGGAAATTCATGG